GCCTGTTTTGGGTCAGGACTGGTCAAGTCTGCATCACGTACCTACACTGCATGGTTACTGTTAGACCGAGTAGCCAGGGAGCTGCTCCTGAAGCCGTTCATTCTGCCAGATGACCCACGCAGCCCAATTCCTCTGGGAGCCATGGTCTCTGACTGGAGGAAGAAATTGTTCTTTGCAAGAAAGGCAAAATCAGTCCTTAATCAGCCTAGGCATTCCAGGTCTGTTGCCTTTCCTGACACAAAAGAATTTCTGGAAGTTTTTGTTGAATGTATTTCAACAAGAGAAAGAAACTCCCACATGCAAGGCAAATGCCCTACCCACTGTGCTATCGCTCCAGTCCCTTCACACTGTTTTCTACATGAACACTTTTTTATAAGCATGTTCAGCAGTTCTTCGTAACAGACAACACAAAATAAATTCTTTTGTTTGTGTTTTGGGATGGAGATTGGGGCTTGGGATGGAAACATCCCAAATTTGGTGGTGGGAAGGTGTAATGGTGGTGGGATTAGTGTTTGAATATTAAATGTAATCAAATATTGTGAAGTAACTAATAACATTTAAAAAAAATTAAAACATAAAAATAATAATAATAATAAACTAGGGGGCTGGAGCAATAGCACAGCGGTTAGGGTGTTTGTCTTGCACTCAGCTGACCTGGCCTACCCAGGTTAGATTCCTTCGCCCCTCTTGGATAGCCTGGCAAGCAACCGAGAGTATCTCGCTGCACAGCAAAGCCTGGCAAGCTCCCCATGATGTATTCGATATATGCCAAACACAGTAACAAGTGTCATAATGGAGATGTTACTGGGCCCACTCAAGCAAATCGATGAATAACGGGAGGACAGTGACAGGATAAACTAGGATCCATTTACTAGGCATACATTATCACACTCTATAGTGATAGCTTTTAAATGATAGCTTTTTTACCTCACCACAATGCTTTCAGGAAAGTGGTTTCATCTGTACTTTTAGAATAAATAAAAGTTTCTTGAGTTTTAATTAGCTATTTGTGGCTGAGACCCAATTCATTAAAAGTGCAGCGTGATTTTATTGCCCATGATATAGTTTTTAGTGTGTTCTTCAAGGAAATAAAAATTTAGATTATAACTAGAATAATAAAAACAAAACTTTTGTTTGTTTGGGGTGGACCACATGTGATAATGCTTAGAGGCTACTCACGGTTTGTTGGTTGTGCCCAAGATTAAATCTAGGCCTGTTACTTTAATATCTCTCTCTCTCTCTGTCTCTCTCTGTCTCTCTCTGTCTCTCTCTGTCTCTCTCTCTCTCTCTCTCTCTCTCTCTCTCTCTCTCTCTCTCTCTCTCTCCTTCTTGTCACTTTGGTTACAGTGAGCCTTGGTGTTCCCTGTTTCACTTTACTTTGTTTGTCATTCTGTGCTTCTCCTTAGACCGAGGAAACCCTCAGCTATTATTATTTCTTCCACTAGCAATTTTTCCCCTTTCTCCTTCCTCCTCTTCACTTATTTCTATGATTTGTGAGTTGTTCTCTTTGCTACTGTCTTATACATACCTAATATTTTTTCATTTTGGTGTGTGTGGAGGGAGGTATTGGGCCACAGCCAGATATGCTCAAGACCTGTTGCTGGCTCTGTGCTCAAGGATCACTCCTGATGGTCTTCAGGGGATTATATATGGTAGAGGGATCAAACCAGGAAGAGGTGTTTGCAAGGCAAGTGCTTTACCTTCGTTGCATCTCTTGTTCCTCTTTGTCTAAATTTTTGTCTATTATTTCTCATTCATTGATGATGTCACAAGTGCTTTACCTTTGTGGCATCTCTCTTGTTTCTCTTAATTTGTCTAATTTTTTTCTATTATTTCTTATTTATTGATGATGTCATGTGACTTGTCTTTAGGGTCACTTGTGCAATTTTTGGCTTCTGCTACTCTGATGCTGAACCCTACTACTATATTTGGATTCCTCAGACCTACGTGAATGAGTTCTTTCTTGTTTTACCCCACCAATCTCTACATAAGATATTTTTTTCCACAGAGAGGAAAGTGAAAAAGTGAATTTGGAGAACCAAATGAGGAGTATCAAGCCTATCCCCATCATTCATATGACACTAGAAATATAGCACTGTCTGTAGCACTGTCCTGTAGCACTGTCCTCCTGTTGTTCATCAATTTGCTCGAGTGGGCACCAATAACATCTCCATTGTGAGACTTGTTGTTACTGTTTTTGGCATATCGAATACACCACAGGGAGCTTGCCAGGCTCTGCTGTGCAGGTGGGATACTCTCAGTAGCTTTCCAGGCTCTCCAAGAGGGAAAAAGGAATCAAATCCGGGTCAGCTGCGTGCAATGCAAATGCCCTATCAGCTGTGCTGTTGCTCCATTCCACTAGAAATATAAAGCAGTAAAATTAAGCAATGCCAGAAATAAGAGATATAAAAATGGAAGATTTAAGTGTATCATTGATTGAAAATACTACAATTGTATTCTTTAAAATCTCAAAATAATTTAATAAATAAAACTTATCTTAATAGTGTTTAGTCTGTTTCTTTGATGAAAACATAAGCAAAGTTCATTCATCTTTCTACGAAGCCATCTAATGTAAAATAGTTTCACTTAGCGAAAGCTAAAAGAACTTTGAATAGATTTTTCAGATGCACAGCTTTCACAGTAATTAAAGTATAAAAAAATATTGAAAAACCAAAAGGAGACTGAGTAAAGGGAAGCTATATTCTACCCATGAGTAGGAAAATTTCATATCATTAAACTAGCATCTTTTGAGGGATACTATGAAATTCTTTAGTGTTGTGATATCCCAGACTACACTGAAGAATGAGATTCAGGGGCTGTTGTGATAGGACAGTGGGTAGGGCATTTGTCTTACATGTGGCTGACCCAGATTTGTTTTCTGTCATCCCTTATGGTTCCGTGAACACCACCAGGAGAGATTACTGAGCCAAGAGTGAGAAACTCTGGGTGAGCTTCACCCCACAAAAATATATATTTACAATGAAATAGAATGATTTCTAGGTTATATTTTAGGTGAAAAAACAAGATAAGGTTCTAGCTAGAGCATATACTTAGCATACGCATAGAGATAAGTTCTAGCAAAAGCATATACTTCTATGTGTAGGGGGAAAAGTCTAAGTTCATAAACAATGCGATGATTTATTTACATATATTTACATATATTTTGGGCTGAAGCGATAGCCCAGCGGATAGGGTATTTACCTTGCACACAGCTGACCCGGGTCCAATTCCCCCATCCCTCTGGCAAGCTACCAAAAGTATCTCGCTTGCATGTCGGAGCCTAGCAAGCTCCCATGACACAGTAACAACAAAGTCTCCAATGGAGACGTTACTGGGCCCGCTCAAGCAAATCGACGATCAACGGGAGGGCATATTCAATAGGCCAAAAAATAGTAACAAGTCTCACAATGGAGACATTACTGGTGCCTGCTCAAACAAATCCATGAACAACAGGAGGACAGTGCTACAGTGCTATATACATTTTATATTGTACACATATGTATATATATAATATCACTGTACTCCTATTGCATTGATACACATACACACACACACACACACACACACACACATATATATATATATATATATATATATATATATATATAAAACAATTGAGTTAAAGTTACCTGAGTTGAAATCATGGTGCTTTGTCCAATTTTGACTAACAAGGATAAAATTTTCTACTCCATTTTGTGCCATCAGTACATTTGTCAATACAGAGTTTAGTACTGAACTTAGTGTGCTATTTTGCAATAGGCTTTTGCATATTAGTCTTTTCTGGCCTATGATGAGCATCTTTAGACAGGTGCTCTGAGAGACAACCAGTTTTGTACCCCTAGGGCTCTGGTGTATCACAGTAGAAAAATATAAGCAAAGTAGTGAAAGATGAAGGTGCATCCTTGTATATGGGAAATGAGTGGAGATTTATTAAGTGTCTGGGAAGGCAGTTGCAAGATCTTTAAATAATAATATCAATTATAATATATGTGTTATGATTACTGGGAACCGGATAAAAAATTAACTTAGATAGCTAAGCATAGTCAAGCCTCACACCTGCATAAAGGTAAAGGTAAAGGCCCTCCCGTTGTTCGTCGATTTGCTCGAGCGGGCCCAGTAACATCTCCATTGGAGATTTTGTTGTTACTGTGTTTGGCATATCGAATACGTCACGGGGAGCTTGCCAGGCTCTGCCGTGCGGGCGAGATACTCTCAGTAGCTTGCCGGGCTCTCTGAGAGGGGTGGAGGAATCAAACTCGGGTCAGCCATGTTGGCTGCATGCAAGGCAGACGCCCTACCGCTGTGCTATCGCTCCAGCCCCACACCTGCATAGGAAATTTGATCTATTGAAATTCTATCAGAAGTTAATGAGTGGCAGAAAGATCGCATTCATCTGGGGAACATAAAGCAACAAAATGGGAGACTAACACCCAGGAGTGGCTGAGATTAGTACCAGGAATTTTGCTCCATGACTTGGAGGCCAGCCACACGTGCTAGGGGAAAAGAAAGCTCAGATAGAGAAGAGAGCACCAAATAAAGGGTGTTGGGAGGATCCTCCCATGGTGGGAGAAGCATGCTGAAAGTAGACTATAGACCAAACATGATTGCCACTCAATGCCTCTCTTGAAAACCACAGGACCCAACAGGAGAGAGAGAGAACAAGGGGGAATGCCCTGCCACAGAGCCAGGGTGAGAAGGGGGGTATGGGGGGTTGGAGGGATGCTGGGACCTGTGGTGGTGAAGGATGGGTGCTGGTGAAGGGATGGGTACTTGATCATTGTATGACTGAAACCCAAGCACAAAAATTTGTAAGTCTATAACTGTACCTCATGGTGTTTCACTAATAAAAAACAAAAGGAGACAAAAAAAAGTTAATGTGTGAAATTAAAGGAAGCATTCACTTGCATAACCATACCTTAAAGTCCCTTGGGCAGAGAATACATCTATCCATTATCAGGTTGTATGAAAGTTCAAGCCAGTAAAATTCTGCTGATTTGCAGGTCGCTCTTCCAAAGACTCAGTGGGTCAGATATCTGTTCATGTGGACATCACTACTATGCCGGGAACTGGAGAATATAAAGTCATTGTAAAAGGTACATTTCTGATCCAGATAAATTAGATATCCTTTAGAACTTCAAAGTAATAATGATAGTTACAATGTATTTTCCTCTTGGTTATGTTCTTTAAATGTATGTTAAAATACTATAGGGAGTGCTTGGATATCAGGCTTTCTATTTAAAACTAAAAGAAAAATCAGTGGTACAGTACTATTAATGTCCACATTGAGGCAGAAGATAGGAGGTCACACTTATGATTTAGGGGTTATTCCTGTTTTGTGCTGAAAGTAACCCCTGACAGTGCTCAGGGGATGATGTCTGGTGCTGGTATGATCCAAGTTCAGAATCCTGCAGAGTAGGAGCCCTATCTCCTGTAATATCACTCAGGGAACTAGCCCAGATTGTTTAAAGTACCTAAATGGTTTAAATAGATTGTTGATTAAATTTCAGAACCTTACAATCTGAAAATTTCTGTTATTATCATCAATAATATTTATTGAATATTAGTGCCATGATTGGCTCTGTAACTTGTCAAATAGATTCTATTATTGTTCTAGTAAGTCAATACGTTTTATTGACAAACTTCTTTTATATATGACTTCTAACAACTGGTTTGATTTTTTTGTAAGTGGTTAAATATAATGGTTTTGTATTTTAAAAATACAATCTTGGATCAGAGAAAGAGTAGAGAAGGTAAAGCACTTGCTTTGCCTCTGGCTGACCCGGATTTGATCCCCAGCACTACAAATGGTGCCCTAAGCACTTCCAGGAATGATCCCTGACTGCAGAGCAAGGAGTAAGCTCTGAACATTGTGGGGTATTGACCAAATACCATATACACAGCAACAACAACAACAGCAACAATAAAAGTACAGCTGAATGTAGTGGTCATTTCAAAGGTGGCTTATAGATAATAGTTCAGTAGAACCATATTAAATTTTATGTACTTTTGTATTTATTATATTAAATACTTACTTTTTGGGGGTTTTTAAATTTTTTTTAATGAATCAGCATGAGATACAGTTACATCTTACAAACTTTTGTGATTACGTTTCAGTCATACAATGATAGAATAGCCATCCCTTCACCAATGCCCATTCTCCACCATCAATGTTTCCAGTATCCCTCCCGCCACCCCACCTAGCCCCTCTCAACCCCCCACTATGATGGCAGGCATTTAAGTGGATCTACATGGAGAGTACCATGCTAAGTGAAATGAGTCAGAGAGTGAGGGACACACAAAGAATGACTGCACTCATTTGTGGAATGTAAATTAACATAATGAGAGACTGACCCCCAGGATAGAAGCGATAAGGGCCAGGAGGATCACTCCAAGGTTCAAAAGCCGGCCTCACATGCCTCACATGCCGGAAGAAAAGGCAGTTGTGATAAAGAAGGAACCACTAATAATACTTACTTTTATTCAAGACATTATACCCAAATATGCTGTTAATGGCATAGCTAATATACTTTTATTATAAAAGTAGAACTGGCACAATCTATGATGGATGATGAGAACATAGATGAGTGCTCGTTTAAGGATACAATCATTGGTCTTTAATATTTTTTAAAAATATACCAATGTATATCAAATGCTCCAATTCTATTAACATACCATGTGGCAGTTCTAGCAGTAAGGTTTTTTTTTACATGTATCATCAACAAAAGATATGTAAAGTGTACAAATAAAAAATAATGTTAATGGAGGTGGTCAGAGGCACAGGGGTAAAAAAAGAGTGTCTATGGCACCAGAGAGATGGTAGAGGGGCTAAAACACTTGCCTTGCACATAGCCAATCCCAGATAGAACCACTATATATGGCACCCAGAACACCACCAGAGAGCCAGGAGTAAGCCCTGAGCAAAACTGATTGTGTCCCCTACACCCGACTTCCCACATACAAGCAATAAATGAAACAAATCACAGAAAGAATATTCAAATAATTTGTTTATGATGCCTAAAATTAGATAATAACCATATAAGAATTAGTGATTAGATTAGATTCTATATTTAACAATTTTTAGTTAAATATGAATCCATGTGAATATTTCTAGTGAATCTATAGTTTTAAACACATATAAATATATATTTATGCACTTTAATATAGAGATATATAACATGTAAACATACAAACATAATGTATATCATATTTTAAATATATACAAAAATAAATATATATGAATATATTTCTATATGTTCCATATTGAATCCAATAACCACATGTAGAAATATATCTAATGAGTTATAAAGATGTCTATGTTGAACTTAATAAATGCAATCATTTTAGACTATAACATTGATATTGATCACATACTTTATATGTTGACATATCAGAGCATTTTACAAGGTAATAAAGTTATAGAATTTATTGTAAACTATTTTCTTTAAAATTTAGAGATAGTTCATAAAGAATATATATTCTCAATACAGAAATTATCTCTTATCCTAAACAAACTTTTATTAATACATAATTTTATCATTTCAATTATAGTAAACTATCACACCAATATCACATTGCTTAAACTGAAAATTCCATCAGGTGGATTCTATAACTAAAATTGTTTTTTGTCCCAGGTGTTTTTCCTATAAGTGTTCTAGGCTTTAGATAATTCAGGTCATAGCTTTATTTGTTAAAGTGAATAACCAAAAGGAGAGGCCAACTTTTTATGCTTTCTCTAACTGATACTTAGTATTCATTTCCCTTTTCCTCTTTCTTTTAGTGATTGCTATTAATGACTTACACTGGCAGACAACAGCAATGTTCCGTCCCTTTGTGGAAGTTTGGATGCTGGGACCCAACCTCAGTGACAAGAAGAGAAAACAAGGCACAAAAACCAAGAGCAACACGTGGTCACCAAAGTACAATGAGACATTTCAGTTGTAAGTTATGATCCCAACAAATTTGTTCAACCAGGCTATCTAGTAGGACTGACATAGAACTCTCTATTACTCTTTGTCATTGATTCCATACAAATGAATAAATACATTTCATCACACGATAGTGAGTACCATGTAAAGAGTTAGGGACCTAAACCATAGTAGGGCATTTGCTTTGCATCCTGCCAACCTGCATTCAATCCCCAGTATTCCATATAGTCCCCCAAGGACCACCAGAAGTGATTCCTGAGTACAGAGTCAGGAGTAAATCCTGAGCACTGCCAGTTTTACCCATAGAACAAACAAACAAAAGAAAGAATTGAACTCGGGTACTCTAAATGGAATGAAGGCTGACATCTTATACTGAATAACTTGACAGAACACGTAACTTAAAATTGAAACCTGAAAAAAGTGAATAAAAAATAATTTTATTTAAAAAATAAGTAAATATAGCCGGCAATTCAGGGAAGAGAATTGAGAGCATCTTAGGCCACTCATTATTGCTAGTATTAAGAAGCAAATGTGGGACATGCCTAGAACTTTTAAGAAAAAATCAAAGGTAAACAAGGGAATGAGATGGAATAGTTTGATGAGGTTGTCAGGGTTCACAGAATCAATACATTGCAAAAGTTTAGCATGTAGCATCCACAGAGACAAGGTTACATTCTAAGTTAAATAGGAGGTCTTGAAAGAGTTTTTAAGTGAGCAGATGATGAATCTGCTTTACATATTCAAATGATTAATATATTTATATACAGAAATATAACTATAGTGAGGCAAGGTCAATGCTCAAAGAGAAGTTAGAAGACCATTATTGGTAGTACAACAAACATGAAGTAATAGTGGGGTGATGATATTTCAGTAGGGAAATGAATATCAGTAGCAGGGAGATGAAAATATGTTAGGAAATTCTGGATATGCCTTGGAAATAATTTCATAACATTTAAAGTAGACTGTAGGCATAACATGAAAGAGTCTATAAAATATGTTACCAAGAACATTCATTTAAGAATAATTCAAGATGGGTTTATTTACAACAGAATTTGTAGGAAATAGAGAGACTTCAAGCAACAGTGATGTGTCTTGGGCCACATCAGGAGTTAGGTTTCTGTGCCTGAAGGAAGGGCTATTTAATTGGGAGAGAGAAAACTTCATATGTAGTCTGAAGTGACTACATAGTTTGAAACAGACTATTTGAGGCCATTTCAGAGATGAAGAGCAGGTGATTTCCAAAGAGTGCTCTTTTTTGACCAAATTCAATTAGAAGCCAAAGCCTGGGAAACTCTATTGGTGAAGTTCTTACAAGTCAGCCTCCTATTGCAAAGAGTAGCGAGGAGGTAGAAGGGTAAACTCAAATAGAGAAAATTGAATATATCTATCATTGAGTAAAATCAACAATGACCCAGAGGGCTTTGGCTTTAGCTAGAGAGGATTTTGGATTGGGTAGAATAGTTTTAGGATTGCATAGACAGGCATAGACTGAGATGAAGAAACTAGAAGCTCGGGGGCAAAAGAATTTTTGTTTAATCTGAAGATCCTTATCTTTTAAACAGCCCTTCCAATAGGAGATATAAAATACTAATTTCTATATAACTTGATAGTTATCTGGATATAAAAATATAATTAACTCCATAAATTAGAGAAAGTAACTGATTTTGGGATTGAAAGAGAAAATTGGGGGAGGGGTCATAAGACTACATCCTTGGTGCTAACACATGAACCTAAAAATAGTTTGTTACTAGTTTGTTTGTTATTCACACTTTAATTATTTTTTAATTTCAGTCATTGTGATTTACCATATTATTGACAGCCTTATCTGCATACAGCATTCCAGTACAACACCCTTCAGAGTCTTCACTATCTTAGTATCCCTCCCAATACCAGCTCTTGGTTCTGTTCTCTTGCTTTTTTTCTTTATATCCTTTATATGAAAGAGAGCATGATATATCTGTCCTTTCCTTCTGCCTGATTTCGCTCAGCTCAATTCCCTCCAGTTGCACACTCTTTATCTTGCATTGTTTTATTACCTATTAAAACTTATCTATTCTTCCACATCCATTAATGGGTTCTTTATATCATAAAAGGTTACCATATAATTATATAACTATAAAATCATCTGTGCAAATAAAATTTCACAAAATTTCACCTATTTACTTACTTACCTTATTACATAAGCACGTTAAATATTTTTCAAAAGGCATTAGAAATTTATGATTCACACAAAATTCACATATTTTTCAATATTCATCAACTCTTCAAGCTGCCAAGACTATGATTTTGACAAAGGTGGAATTTTTTTGTTTGTTTTTGGGGGCTACATCTGGCACACTCCTCCTGGCTCTGTACTTAGAGATTACCACTAGCAGGGGTCAGTGGACCTTATTGAAAGCCAGGTATTGACTGAAACCCAGGTCAGTCGCATGCAAGGCACATGCACTACCCACTACACTATCACGCCAGTCCCAGAAAAGGTAGAATTTTGATGTAATTTTATTTACAAAGAAAATATCTGGTTCTTATGTTATTCTAATTTCTTCTTACCCAACAAGTTTTTGCAATGTAAAAGAAATGTCAGATTAGCTATAAAGTACATAGTCCATCTTTATTTATAAAGTATATTGTATCAATGCTGCCTTGAAGTGACACTTTCTACAAAATGTTAGAGCAGAAAATGTCATGTGACCAAAAAAAAGGAATTTTGGAAACTTATATACTACTGACTAATAGAAATTTGTTAGAGAGTCAGTATCTAGGGATGAGCTAAAGTAAAGGGCAGGGGAGGGATCTCATCACTCAGGCTTTATTTTGTTTAGTTCTACACCAACAACTTGTCTTAGGTTAATATTAGTAGAGACAATCTTCAGACCCTAGTTAGAACTGACAGGTCTAACTTTAGTGATGAAAGAATTGTCATTGACGCACCAGGCTCTGAAATTAGATCTAACTAATTTACTCTGGATTTTTGTATTAAACTTAGCTTCCTAAGAATAGTGCTTTGATGAGTGAGAAGTGTTTTCCTTCACATCCAAGGAAAGACTCCTAGATCAACTAGAATAGCTACAGATATGAGGTAAAGGGAAAAAATGCAGAAACTAATGCTGAAATGGCACAGAAGATTCTCCAAGAATCTTTTTCCTTGAATCAGTGCCATTCTAATCCTGTAACAATATGGAGACCATCATATGATTCAGTATCTCGTAATATTTTGGTTCTGATTTCTATTAATATATTGTTAACCCAATCAGTAATACATACTCAGATTAATTTTCTATGCCTGTCTAAGAAAGGAGAAACTTTAAGTTATATTTCCTTACATTATAAGAAATATCTATGTAAAAAGTAAGTGAAACTTAAAGGGCATTACATCAGGATTAAAATATAATGCTACTCAATTTGTTGATATACTGATAAATATGGGCTGGAGTGAAAGCACAGTGGGTAGGGCATTAGCCTTGCACGCGGCCAACCCAGGTTTGATTCTCTCATCCCTCTTGGAGAGCCCGGCAAGCTACCGAGAGTATCCCGCCCGCACGGCAGAGCCTGGCAAGCTCCTCGTGGCTTATTTGATATGCCAAAAACTGTAACAAGTCTCACAATGGAGACATTACTGGTGCCCGCTCAAGCAAATCAATGAACAATGGGAGAACAGTGACAGTGACTGTTAAATATATCAAATTTCAGCGGTAGTTTAGAAGTCTTTTGATACCTATGTGAAATAAACTAAAAATTTCTGGTTTTAATTCACACAGCATTCTGGGTAATGAAAATCGTCCAGGGGTCTATGAACTGCATCTCTCCGTGAAAGATTACTGCTTTGCCCGAGAAGATCGAATCATTGGAATGACAGTCATTCAGCTACAGAATATAGCCGAAAAAGGGAGCTATGGGGCATGGTATCCTCTTTTGAAAAATGTCTCTATGGATGAAACTGGTTTGACTATTCTTAGGATACTTTCTCAGAGAACCAGTGATGATGTGGCTAAAGAATTTGTCAGACTTAAGTCTGAAATTAGATCTGCCGAAGAGAGTGCTTAAAACAAGTACTTCAAGGTACCATCTTCAAAAGTAAACTCTTTGTTTGACTATTGCATGCACGTGCACATATATGGGAATGTTTATTTCACTGTTTCAGTGTTTGCCAGTACTTAAGTGCAATGTCTACAAAGTATGCGAAAATCCGATGAACTTTTATACTGTTCTGGTCCTTGAGAAATAAATGTTCCATGAAGTGCCAAAATTATTTCAAGTAAAATATATTATCTCTTTTGAAATACTTGTTTCATTTCACTACCACTTTCTCCTCTATTAAGTTTGCTAAAAACTAATTACCCTTTTGAGTTTGTCAGTTGTCTTTGTTAAATTCACTTATATTGCCATATTTCAAAATGTGTTTCTCAAATTCTACTTTAATTCTATTTTATTTAGACTTGCCGTATTGTAGATGTCTTACAAAACCCTTTTCTATCATAATAGAAATGCAATTACATCTAGAGTTTGTAATTTTATAGTTGCAGATATATTGTGATGAATTTTGCATACAAATTAAAATAGACAAGGTAGAATATTTTATGCTGACCAGTTTCCAGCCTTTCTGAAATATCACTGTGAAGAAATGCTATTAAAGCAAACTTATACAAAGCAATGCTAAATAGTTTGTTAACAATGTTTAATATATTAAAAAACTTTGCTCTTTAAAACTGCCATGATCACATTGCATTTGCAAAAAAAAGTAAGTTGATGCATTTGTCATCTAGCGTTTGTCTTGGCTTTCTGAATTTCATACGTTAGAAGATCATAGGATCAGTGGTTTAGAAAGGATGTAGCAGGTTAAATTTTTTAAATTACCTATTATGAGTATGTACATTGTTAAGTGTTTTCCCTCTAACAGTTATGACTCTCTCCTTATTTACACATTTCTATAATCAGTTAAACGCTTTTTATTTTAAAAATATTCAGCAATTTAAACTGAATGAAGCATTATTATATATTGCACTGGAGCAAAAAGTCATGTCTTCTTCTATTTAGTAACAAATATAAAATAAAGCCTGAGAAATTGCTAACAATTTTACAATTTTTGTTATTTATCAACTAAAGATGCATCTGACTCAATAGAAAACAATATAGCACAAAATTATGCTAGGTTTGTTTTTGAATATGAAATAGTTTATGAATATTTGAGCTTTCTTTATTTTTATGGTTTGACTTTTTGGAGCCTGTGTCTAAAGATTTGGCTGTCAGCAGTACTTTGAGATTGCAACTATGGTCATAACTATTAGTGGACAGCATACAAATGCAGGAACAAGAGCCTGTTCTGTAAACAAGCTAGTAAGATCTGATAGAAACAGAAATGAATAGTATCTTGACTCAGAACCGTTTTGTGTTGCTGGATACAAAAACATATTTTAGTGAGAATCACTAATTCATGTTAAAATGTTAGGAACTTGCTTTGTTAATGACTTCTTCAATGCAATCCTTTGGCATATGCGTTAATAAATGGTTGTAACTGAGCACATGAAATACTTTATTGTACCTTTTGCCTTTTTGTTTTACTGATAAAACATCATTTCATTATTCACAAATAAAAATTCCAGGAAAATTCACACTTTGTATTTAATATCTCTTAGAATGGGGGGGGAAATCTACTTTTATTCATGGAAGAGATATACATATTACATGATATTGACATTGAAATAAGAAATAGCTTCTCGTCCTTCACGCCCTAGCGAGGCAATGAGTTGACCTCCATGAGCGGCTCCCTGGCATGACCATGGCTCCAGAGGAACAAGAACTTAAACCAGAGCCTGGCAGCTTGTGGCAGAAAAGTGAATAGACTATGCCTTAAACTACAGTGCCATGCCTCCCTGGGAGGGAAAGGGTGTCTCTCCCTTCCACCTTCACCACCCTCACCCCCCGCAACAAGGTGGCTGCAGCCTCAGAGCTTATTGGAAAGCCAGGTATGAGCCAGCAGTGACGGGGCAACTGCAGCCTCATGGAAAGGGGGGCAGTACCGGCTTGTCCTTTACTCCCTGCTGAGGCCACGAGTTGCCCCCCACGAGCGGCTCTCTGGTACGGCCATGGCTCCAGAGGCAAAGAAACCAATCTCGTAATTATCTGGCTCTTGGCAGAAATCCCTCCAGACTTAATTAGTAAAATATCAGAAATCCAAAATTGCATGGCCACGGCATCATATGGTTCTCATAACCAGCTATAGAAAACAAATTACTTCACAATGCCTTTTCAGCAGTTCTGATTGTTGGGTGGTAACTCTAAACAATAATGGTGCATCTTTTGACGAAATAATGAATGTAATCAAAGTAGAGAGAGAGTTAAGTAGAAATCATCTGCCTCACAGGCATGGGGAGGGGTGGGAGGGGGGTATATTGGGGTTCTTGGTGGTGGAAAATGAGTACTGGTGAAGGGAAAAGTGTTTGATCATTGTATGACTGAGACTTAAACCTGAAAACTTTGTAACTTATCTGAGAAATGCTGAGCACATAAAAAAAATTATTAACCAACATATATACAGAAAATAACATTAAATAAAAACTTGAATTACAAAATATTTTGCTATCTTGTTGAAAATTTTATTCTAGATTGTATAAAATCCTCTCTCCCCAGCTGTGTAAGCCCCTCGCTAACGCAGGGATTACATGTGAAAGGATGTTCATGGGCTTTCCGGGCGGATCTCTGATCTCTCTTGCCACCTGCGTTCAGTGCTCTTGAGTCACTTCTCTATCCAGGGTGGCTGTTGCCTTGGACAGATGAAGGAATAAGGGTCAAGCTGATTGCTGATTAGTTGCCATTTATTCTCTCTCTCATATCTCCCAGCTCCCTCCAACCCTCTGTGTGTGTGTTTGTGTGTGTCTATCTCTCTCTAACCATGCAATTCTTTCTTCCTACTGTGTCCATCTGCTCTATCTCTCTCTGCTGTCTCTCTGCTATCTCTGTAACTGTCTCACCTTCAATCCCCCCACAGCAACCTTCAATCAATCCATCCTTCTCCCCCCATCCATTCTTTTTTATCATCTCAACACGTCTCCCCAAACACGCCTCCCCACGGGAAGCGTCATCAAAAATATTTTTCCAGTCTTCCTGACCACCTGCATCCCACAAGGGCAAAACAGACCTTATGGTGTGTTTCTCCTCTCCTTAGACCTGCAATTTAATTAACATATTTATTTCTACTTCCTAATATTTACCATTGTGTATGGACACAGAATAGATACTTTTAGGGTTATAGGGTGGCTTTCCTGGGGACATCTCACCACAGACTCAGACTACAGTGCTCAGGCCTAGATCAATCATTCCTAACCCCAGAAGGGTTCAAATCTAGTTATTAATTTTGGATCATGACAGAATTTGACCATGACTATGTTCTTATAGTTAAACATTAGGATACTCTGGCCACGCCCATTTCAATGCCAGGGTAGCTCATAGTTCACTGCTTGCCCTGGGTCCATCCAGTCCCTCTTCAGGACCCTGCTTTTTGGATCTAGGAAGAAAGTGCAACTGAGGCTTAAGTTGAGAGAGCAGATGTTCAGGAGGTATAATATCTGGAGTCAATCAACTCCCAAGCCACAGGTTTGTCTTTTTAACTGTCTTCCGGTATCCATACAACAAGCAATTGCTCTGAAATAACTAACTATGCAAAGGACAGTAAGGAGAAGAGAAAAACAATATTCACAAGTCAGAGACTGATCAGGAGACAAAGGTAATTGACATATTTGGTGAAATCAACAAACACAAGCTCCCAGAGGTCAGGGATGAAGGGCAAACCAACGTTATCCTACACTAAATGTATCTTATAATTATTTAAGATACTGGAACTAACATATTAATATCATCAGATATAATATACTTGAACAACAGTAGTTAGTTAGGGTTTGAATTAGTTACTTAAAATTATCAGATAAGTATTTTTTTAATCACTTAAATCACTTAACTTCCCATTAGTCGTCGATTTGCTCGAGCGGGCACCAGTAACATCTCCATTTGTCCCTGTCACGTGCTAGTGTAGTCCAAGGGCATCTGTTCGCTCCAGGAACATGAAGGGCCTCAAACCGATCGTTCATGATCTTGACGAAGAAGTCTGACCATCTGGTAGGTGGGCGGCCACGCGGTCTTTTGACATCCCATGGAATCCAGTTGGTAACAGCTCTAGTCCAACGGTCGTCTTTAAATCTCATTACGTGACCAGCCCATCTGATTTTTGACACCTTGGCAAATGAGACAGCGTCCCTGATTCTTGATCGTCGACGGATGTCAGAACTCCAGATTCTTTCTCTCATTTGAGTGAAACGTGATATTCCAAGCATAACTCTTTCTATTCTTCTTTGGGAGACCTGAATAGCGTTCTCATCTTGTTTGCGTAGGGCCCAGGTCTCTGAGGCATATGTTAATGCAGGAAGAACAGTGGAATCAAAGAGATGTGCCCGGAGCTGGAGGTTCTTCGTCCTCTTAGCTATTTCTTCGACGTTCTTGAAGGCGTTCCAAGCCGCTCTCTTCCTCCTGCGCAGCTCGGGTGCCAGGTCATTTGTCATGTTGACCTCTCGACCTAGATACACATAGCTGTTGCAATCGGAGATGGTCATTCCATTGAGAGCGAATGGGGTGTCAGGAACGAGGCTGTTTCTCATGAACATTGTCTTTGTAAGATTCAGCTGTAGTCCTACCTTTCCACACTCATGGTCAAAGTTGGCCAGCATTTGTGCCGCTTGGCTGATGTTTGGTGTTATTAAAACAATGTCATCAGCAAAGCGGAGGTGGTGTAGTTGCCGACCATCTATCTTCACTCCCATTCCTTCCCATTCCAGTCGTCGCATGATGTTCTCGAGGGTGGCACTGAAGAGTTTCGGTGAAATGGTATCACCCTGCCGCCCCCCTCTCTTGACATCAACGATCACTTCTTTGTAGAATGGTGAGATCCTGGTAGTGAATCCGCAATACAGCTCACGGAGGATCCTGATGTATTGGGCTTGAATGCCCTGATTGGCTAGGGCTTCAATGACCGCTTCCGTCTCAACAGAATCAAAGGCCTTCTTTAAATCAATGAACATTAAACAGAGCGACATCTTGAACTCCCGAGAAACCTCAATGAGCTTGGTTATTGTGTGGATATGTTCGATGGTGCTGAATCCTTTTCGGAACCCTGCTTCTTGCATGGTTGTCCTTCATCTAATGTTCTGCCAATCCTATTTAGGATGACTCGAGTGAACAACTTGTAGGTGACAGACAATAGGCAGATCAGGCGATAGTTGCCAATGTCATGGAT